AAATGCACGTGTGGATCAAACTGGGGTAATAAGCACTTCCTCATGTGAGGAGCCTTCAGTTTCTCTCCCTGGATCTTTGCATTATTCTGAACTACTGTCTTCCCACTGTGCTGCAGAACATTAGAACTTTTCCCTGTAACTGTTTTGGTACTGAGTATGTACTCTGCCTTTATCAACCCTTCCCAACCTCTAGGAATTACTATTCCACACTTGGGTCAACTTTTTTCTAGTTATCAGCCAATTTTATTTTATGGAGTAAAGTGTTATTCTGTTCTAGAATGGAAAACCAATTAAGATGTTTAAATTGTTTTAATTTTTGTCCTTTGACAGAGGTAAAGGAATTTTAGTTCTTTCATGGAAAAATTTCTATGTATGTAAGCAAGGACCATCTATATTCACCCTTGATTACAGCCATTAATATCTACTCTGTGCTATCATAATGCTGAGGAATGGGAGGTATGTATTCAAAGATGTCTGGGTAACTTTAAGTGTACTTTACACCGAGCTGTAGTGTACTATAATAATTCTGCATAGCAAAACCAATTTCATAAATCATGGAGCAGTACAGAAATGGGTCAAGGGTCAGCAAATTTTTCTCAAAAGGGCCACATGGTAATTTTTTTTGGCCTTGTAGGTCATATGGTCCTTTCCAAAACTACTAAACTTTGCAGATATGAGGTAAAAGCACAGAGGATATATAAACGTGCAACATGGCTGCATTGTAGTAAAATTTATGGACAGGAGAATTTCATAAACTCTCAATGTGTCATAACATACTCTTCTACTGATTTTTTCAACTACTAAAAAATATAAAAACCACTCTTAGCTCAAGGGCTGTACAAAACAAAACAGCATACTGAATTTGGCCCATGGGTCAGTCTTGACCCAAACTCCTCACTATACAGATAGGAAAAATGAGTGTTGAAAGTTAAAATGTTCTTTCTGGGACACCTGGAGTTAGTGGTTGGGAAAAGCTGAGCATATGGATCATCTTGACTCTTCTCCAGTGACTTTACCATCTTGCCTTCCAGCATGGAGTTGTAGTCTGGTTAGGACACTGAGAATGATCACATAGGACGAGTCTGGATAGACTATTCTTTACATACCAAAAACTTTTTGTTTTTATCTTTTCCCAGTAGTCTTGAGGGGTCAGACTTGAACAATTTTTCGTCACTGTGAAAGACACGAATAAATTACAAGCAGTTAGCTATTTTATTTAGACAGTTCAACTATAAATCAGGTAGACTGTTTAAGGGGCAATGAGTGTTAAAAGAAAAACTCTACATGAATTTAATTAAAAAGAGCCTAACTGAGTAAAGAATAATTCATTTTTTGGGGGGATTGGGGCTTGAACTCAGGGTATATACCACCAATCCTTTTTCTCCTTCCTTCCTCCCTCTTCCCCTCCCTCCTTCCTTCCTTTCTTTTTTGTGAAGGTTTTTTTCAAGATAGGGTCTCGTGGAATTATTTGCCTGGGCTGGCTTTGAACTTTGGTCCTCCTGATCTCTGCCTTCTGAGTAGCTAGGTGTGAGCCACTAGCATCTGGCAAGAATAATTCTTTTAATTAATTAATTTTGAGCTACATCTCCAGTCCAAGAATGATTATTGAATTGGCAGCCCTCTGGACTAGAAGAGGTTTAGAGAGCTTTGTCCCACAAGGCGGGCAGATTGCATTTATGGATAGAGATTAGAAGTGAGGTGCATAAACAGCTTGATTAGTTATAGCTCAGGGTTTGTGAAGTTTATTAGGTGGTAGTGTGTGATTGGCTAAAGTTCAGCTGCTGTGAATGGCTACTTATTATAAGAAATATGCTCCTAAAATAGGCTTTCTGTCCCTCTATGTACTAGATTAGGTAGCAGTTCCTTATTGAGAGAATGAGGCATCCTCAGGCTAAATTTAGTTTAACATCTAACACAGGGCAGTGTAAGCATTCTGATGAACAAGAGGCAAACGAATGCCTTTCTGGTTTTTTTTTTTTTTTTTTGTGGTACTGGGGTTTGAATGCAGGGCCTACACCTTGAGCCACTCCACCAGCCCCCCCCTCCCCTTTTTTTTCCAAGATAGAGTCAAACTATTGCCCAGGCTGGCCTCCAATAGCAATCCTCCTGATCTCTGCCTCCTGAGCCACAGGTGCCTGACTAAGAAAGACTTTACATTTTATTAGCTATTCTATTCCTATAGTTTCAGATGCTGAGTGGGATAGCCTCAGAACTTCTATGGCACTCTCAGATATCACTGAGATATTTTTAGTATTTTTAGTCTGGGACCAGACACTGTTTCAAAAACTTTAGAAGTAATCTGTCAAAAGGTTAGTTTTACTTAGGAATACTGACAACTAGTAACATTTATTGAATGCTTTCTAAGTATGCAACTCTTTTTCATTTAATTTTCACATTAATCATATGAGGAAAGTCTACTATTCTCTCCACTTTATAGATAAGGAAAGAGAAGAAAAAGAGATTAAATAACCTGTCCAGGAGTGGTTAGGGCAGCATTCAAACTTGCACAGTCTTTGACAAGAACTACAACACACAGGTCTAAGAAATGTAAAAACAAAGAGATGCACAGTATTGTGGATATAACAATGCAAAGAAAACTGCTGTTGATCGTCAGAATAAACTTCATTTTTCATTTTTTTTTGGGTGGTACTGGGGTTTGAACTCAGGACCTCATGCTTGCTAAGCAGGAGCTCTACCATTTGAGCCATGCCTCAGCCCTAAACTTCCCATTTTCTTAGAGGAGGAAATGACTTTCAAAAAGTTAGCAGACTCTTTTGGAATAGGAGTGGTGGTTTGAGGCCAGCTCCTGTTTAGAAAAAACAAAAAGGAGAAACCCTATCTCAGAAAACAAGTTGGGTGTGGTGGTACACACTTGCAAAAAGGGCTGAAGGCATGGATCAAGTGACAGAGTGCTTGCCTAGTAAGCCCAAGGACCTGAGTTCAAACCCCAGTACTGCACACAAAAAAAAGTTAGCAGACATACAGCTAGTTAATGTGAGAATCAGAAATCCACTCCCAATTTCTTAACTTGTAGCTCAGTTTCTTTTATTCTGCTACACTGAATGTCCTTAAAAACAAATAAATAAACAAAACTAGAGAATGAGTAAACACATTAAACTATTGGCAGCCATATCCGACACACAGTATATAAAATAATTCAGATTTAGGGTCTAAAATACAAAATTAGGGCTGGAGGTGTAGTTCAGTGGTAGAGAGCATGTTTGCATGCATAAGGCTCAGGTTTAATCTCTAGCACTCCAAAATAAAATAAAAGTTACCTTAACCACTTTAAAATTTGAAATAATTAAAAAACAAATTCAAGCCAGGCATGGTGGTGCATGCCTGCAATTCCAGCTATTTGGCAGGCTGAGGCAGGAGGGCAAATTCCAGGCCAGCCTGGGAAATTCAATGAGACCCTGTCTCAGAATAAAAAGGGCTGGAGATGTAGCTCAGTGGTAGAGTGTTTGCCTAGTGTAACTTTGGCCCTGGGTTTAATCGCTAGTACTGAGGGGGTAAAAAAAAGATGATTTCAACTACAGGTATGTTACGTATCAATAAAACACTTTTAAAAGAAGACACGTAGCTGGGTGTGTTGTTGTGGCACAAACCTGTTATACCAACACTTGAGAATTGAGGCAGGATGGTTGAGAGTTTGAAGCCACCCTAGGCTACATAGCAAGACCCCCGTCTTAAAAAAAAAAGACATACTGTATTAAGTTTTGTCTATCCTTATGAAGAGACTGAAGTAGTGGAATTAATTTTCATCTTTCAAGTTATAAAAAGGAAGATGGCTCTTAAGCCTTTTTAAAATAACTTTTGAATTGCAAGGCAAAGTAAATGTATATTGGAAAAAGTTTAAAAGTAAATAAAACTACTGGTACTCCACCCACCATAGTTTTTTATTTGTTGTTTGTTTAAGACAGGGTCTCTCTATGTAGCTTAGGATGTAACTGGCAATTCTCTTGTCTCAGCCTCCAGAGTGCTGGGATTACCGGCATGCACCGACAAATTAATAATAATTATTATTTTTATTTTTGGGGTGGTGCTAGGGGTCTAACCCAGGGCTCTAGGCAAGAGCTACACCTCCAGCCCTACTTTGACGTCTTTTTACTGCGCGAGAGAGATCCTAGTTATATTCACTCAATAACACTTACTGAACACCTAAATTATCACTGTCACAGTGCCAAGCATGTGAGACACACCGTCCGTCCCTAAGAAGCTTACAGTACACAAGGGAAGACGTGCAATCAGCCATCTGTCAGTGATAATATGACACTGGCGTCAAAATACAACCAGAGTTCTGCCGAGTCCCGCAGCAAGTGGCCGATGCTTTTCACCCAGGCATTCTTGGGTCCCGTTCCCAAAACTCACCCCCAAGCGGTATTCCTATCAGCATGATCTCAAAATCTAAAGATAAATTTAGATAAAGATAAAACCTAAAGATAAATTTAGGTTAGGAAACACCACGCTGTTATTTGTCAAATGTTTAAACCTCTCAAAACGATCCCGGTCCGCGAGTTTGAAGAGCTCATGCCAGGAACAACCCTGATGCGGCCAACACACATCCCAAGGTGCTCCGGGGTTACTTAGGGCGCGGTGCATGCTGGGACTTGTAGTCCTATCAGGACCAAGAACGCTCCCGCTCCATTTACAATACATTTCTTCCCTACAAGTTTTCTGGCCCAACAGTTTAGATTAAACACAATTTGACAAATCTCACCTCACTCTAGGTTCACTGTACTCCAGAAGGCTCGTTATAGTCAACGCTCAAACGCACAGCGTGCTCCTTGCAAGCCTCAAAGAGATTGGCTACTCTTCAGAATTGGGTGGAGCCCAGACTGGAACGGAGCTTAGGATTGGCCAGTTCCTGGGGTTTTCCTATCTACTTGCTGATAGGTGTACTGTAGTAAAGAACCGGGTGCTTTTCCACACTTCCCCCGCCCCAACCCTCCTCACCTCCCCGCAGAGGAAATCTCGCGATATTTCGGCCAAGGGGCCCAGAAACGCACAGTGAGCTGCGGAGGACCGTGGGGGTGGCGGCGCCGGAGCCGGGAAGGGACAGGTCAGGCGGACGGGCGAGCGCGTGCAGCCTACACCTCCTGGGCTCGGCCAGCCGGCTGAGCGCAGCCGGGGGACGTGTGTACGCAGCGCGGCCCTCCTGGTCCGCACGTCGGCCCCGGATCGCGCCGCGCCTCCTCGGGCCTCGGCGGGCGGTGACAGGTGCGCGGAGGCGCGGCGCTCTCTAGCCCGCCGGCCCGTCCCCTCCGGGCCTCGCCCGCCGGCTCGGGATGAGCCGAGGGCCCCGACCGAGCGGCCCCGGCTCCAGCTCTCGGCGCCTGTCGCGGCCGCCGCCCCTGAGCGGAGGAGGACGCGGCCGCTGACTGGCGGGCATGAGCTAGTCGCGGTTGCTGCCGCGGTACTGTGCGCCGACATGAACCTGCACCAGGTGTTGACCGGCGCGGTGAACCCTGGCGACCACTGCTTCTCCGTGGGCAGTGTCGGCGACCAGCGCTTCACGGTAAGTGCACGGATCCCGGCGCCGGGCCGGTGCGGAGTACGGAGACCGCGCGCCCGCCGCCCCGGGTCCCCGCGACCCCGCGACCCCGGAGGTCCTCTCCGCCCCGAGGTCCCTGGCTTCCCGACGTCCCCTCTGTCCCACTTGGTCCCTTTCGCCCCGAGGTCCCCTCCGCTCCGTGGTCTCCTGCTGTCCCGAGGTCCCTGCCGTCCCGAGGTTCCGTCCATCCCCCTTATCGCTTTCTGCCCCGAGGTCCCCTTTGCTCCAAGGTTCCCTCCGTCCCCCTTGGTTCCTGCTGTCCAGAGGCCCCCTCCTCCCTGTGGTCCCCTGCTGTTCCTAGGTTCCCCTCCTCCCCGAGGTTCCTGTTCCCCTGAGATTCCCGCGACCCCCGAGGTCCCCTTCTGTTTCTCGGTCCCCTTCGCCCCAAGGTTTTCGCGACTTCTTCTTTCCCCTCCTCCCCCACCCCGTCAGCCTCTCGTCCCCCTGGGTTTTGCCGCCCCAAGGTTCCCTGCTGTCCCTAGGTCCCCGCCGTCCCCTCCGGTCCCTGACACCCCCTTTGGTCCTCTGTATCCCTGTATCCCTGCTGTCCCTCGGTCCCCTACACCCCACTCTTGGTCCCCGCCGCCCCCCTTGGTCCCTTCTGCCCTGATTCTAGAACCCACAGCCAATCCAGCGGACTCTGAAGTCAGGAGTTAAAAACTTCAGCTTCAGTGTGACCTCCTGGGGCTAGGCTGATTTGCCAAAGTCGTTTGTCTCCAAATCCTCCATGGATAAAGAGTCGGGGTCTTTTTATAGACCTAATCCATAGGCCTAAATTGTCATATTTAAGAACAGTTGGGAATGGTTTCATTTTTTTTTATTAAGGTCAAGTGTGTTCATAGTTCAGAGTGGGTGTCTGAAAACAATTGGAATTGCTGGCTGTTAACACAGTGCTCAGTTAAAAATAAAGAGAAACAGTGCTTTTCACTTATTTTCCTGCAAATGCACTCAGGAGTAACTGTGAAGAGAAAAAAATATTTTTAAAGTAACTCATTCCTACCAGCCTTTGAATTCCATATGTAACAGTCTAGTTGTCCTTGAAATTTTATTTCATATTGTTCTAATTAATCAGTCCAAACATAATTGAAACGCTGGTGATTTTTGCTAAAGCTTGTGTCTTTATCTCTTTAGTTGAGACTAAAAGTAAAAGTCAATTTTATATAAGTGAAACAAAGTAAATAGCCTAACAAAGGCCTAGGCTTAGAAATCTTAAATTTCTTTTTTTTTTTTTTTTTTGAAGTCAGGACCTCACACTTGCTAGGCAGGCACTGTACCACTTGAGCCACTCTACCATCTTAAATTTCTAATCTTACTATTTATCTTTGGTCTTTTTTGGTGGCCTTTGTCAGAATAAATAATACTCAGCATTTAACATGGTGTAGGCATTTAATGTCTAAACTGTAGTTGTGCTGGCCAAGCACTTTGCTTTCACATAGAGACTGCCTTCCCTGTGCAATTGATTCATGCACACCATCCCACTAATTGTCAAGATCTGAATTCTTATGTTTACCTCGCCCAAATACTCAGGGGGAAAGAGTGAGCTCTGAGGGTCTTGGTGAGCAGTTGTAGTCTCCCCATAGCTGGATACTGCTTTCTGTTCTTGTTATTTAAGGGAATGAGATACCCAGCACCCTTAGGGATTTTCCTTGTGGAAGATTATAGGATAATGATGTTGCATTCTCTGCCATCTTCTCAAGTTATAGGAGTGTTCTCCAATACAAATTCTAACAGCTTTTTAAAGAAGGCATTCAGAATCTTATGTAATCTGTGATAGAAACTTCAAAGCATGTGCAATATGATGGCCTATTTACACACATGGGTGCATTCCTCTTTAAAACCTTGGTGAATTGCCTCCATGTTATTTTAAGGAGAGGTCAGTTAATGTGCTGAGGGTCATATGGTTATCCTATACCATCAGGCTTGTTACTCAGCTCTGCTTTCAAGGTGCATTTCCTTAAAGTAGCTTTGATCATCTCCCTCCCAGCCTTCCACAGAGCTCTCCCAGATCTTTGGAAGCATACCACTAAATAAGTTTAAAAAGACATGAAAGGACAGAAAAATATATATATTGGTTTGATATGAAAAGATCCTAGGTTCCTTTAATTTTGGTGGTTTTAAGGATTGTTCGTTTTTCCATTGCATCCAGTCCACCACTGGCTCTTTAACATTAAGTTCATAGTTCTCTTACAAATTAAGTTTCTTGTCCTCAGTGTCCTGAATAGTTACATGCAACTTAAATTTACCTCTCTTGAAATTGCCCATTTTCTGTCTTTCATGTTAAAAATCACAATCTATTGTTTACTCATTGAGTACTGGGGCTTGAACTCAAGGTCTACACCTTGAGCCACTCTACTATCCCCTTTTTGTGATGGGTTTTTTCGAGATATGGTCTCTCGAACTATTTGCCAGGGCTGGCTTCTCCTGATCTCTGTCTCCTGAGTAACTAGGATTACAGGTATGAGCTACCATAGCCTGGCTTGTTTTTAACCTCTTGATTTTTTTTTTTCCTTGTGTGGGGCTTGAACCCAGGGCCTCTGGCACGCTAGGTAAGTGCTCTACCACTGAGCTACACTCCCAGCCCAGATTTTTATTTTTTTGATAGGAAGGTAGCAAAAACGAATGGTAGATCATATGTGAAGACTAAAAATCCTTCTCAGTTGTGGTTTTTATTCCACATAAGGACACGAGATCCTGTAGGCCCTGTGAAAAAAAATTTTTTTAATCCCTTGTGGTACTTTATCCTTTCTCTTAAGGGGGTAATGTGTTTGTAATTCCTCCTTTTGCACATTTGCAGATAACTCACTCTTTTTTTGCTTTGGAAAATTACAAGAGATTAGATCCTATTTTCTACATACCATCTGACATATTTTAAATAAAAATGAGATCCAATACCAATTTTCATGTTTTCTAGATTTTAAAATATGCAATTATTATTATAGGCTAATGATATATGTTTTTATTTTTTATTTATTTAAAAATTTTATTTATTTATTTATTTTTGGTGCACCGTTCCTGGAGGTACTGCAATACCAGGTCGATGCGTGCAGTGGACGGAGCAGGCCCCTATTCCATCTCCCTGTTCCAAAAATCCATTTAGTGATATATTGTATGTATATGGGAATTGTCACAATGAAAGTACAAGTACACCTATTATAAACTAGTAAAAATGTTTAAAAATAATATAGGACAGTATATCCAAGTTTTAGATTCTTAGCTCATCCAGGCATCAAACTCTTGACTTTGCCCTTAGAAAGCAAGCTTCTAATAAGCCATGACCACTGCTGTTACTTTCAAAGCACTTTGTTTTGCTTTTCTTACATCATTAACCAGTCTTACCTGTGTATGCATGTGTCTCCTGGCTTCTTTATGAGCACCTAGAAGAGTGAGGGAGTGGTGACAACTAATAGTTGAGTCATTACCTGAATTTGGTTTCCAGCCTGGTTCCGTAGCCTATGAGCAGGTTGTTGATGAGCAAGTTCTTTTACAATCTTTAAATTTTTTTCCATCTATAAAATGGGACTAAAGTAGTACTGATTTATAGGGTCATTATATTAAAAAGTTCTAAGTTCATGGTTTAGCATATGTAGAACCCTTTAAAATGTCAACTGTTATAAAATTAAAGTCATATTCATTCTAATGCCTGGTGCATTAGTTTGTGAATATGTGAGTTATCTAGTGTTGACCTATTGATAGCTTTTGTTTTAAGAAAAATATTGTCTGTAAATCACAATAAGTTAAAAAAAAAACACCATAAGTTAGAATCAAGGCTTCCTAGTATTTTTGTGCATACTGATAACATAATGTAATAGATTTTTTCTTTTATTTTATAGTTTTTCTGTACTTTGTGATGACACTGCTTTTTGGATAAAATGGAAAGGGAGTTAATTTCTAAGAGACAAAAAGATCATGCTAATATTTAGGACTTCCTTTCTGTGATTTTGATTTTCAGTACCAGAGCTCCAGGAGAGAAAGCAAATGTCTGTAACTCCAACTCCCTTTTCTATTGGACAACTCAGTTTTCCTGGCTGAGGGTCTCGGATTAGAAATGAAAAGACTCCAGCAATGTGGGGACTAAAACAGTGTTCTTCCTCAGCTTTCTTTGATAGTAAGTGTCAACTCTATTGTGTTCACTTTAGGGAAACTGTACTAAGTGGCAGCGTGAGGATGGAAAGGTTTTTTGGTTTTGCTTTTTTCTGAGGAGAGGCATGTAAATCTGTGGTTGGGTAGAGTATAGAAAGGGAAAGTTTGCTGCTGTTCACATCTGGGGAAAGAAGAGCCATTGTAAATACTAACTTGGACTTCTTTTTAAAATAAAATAATTTATAGGTTTAAAGTACCTTTAATTGGATCATTAAAATGATACCAGTTGTTAGTATTATTATTTTTGGTGATACGGGGTTTGAACTCAGGGCTTTGCACTTAGTTATGCGGCAGAGACTCTACAGCTTCATCCATGCTTCCAGCCCTTTTCTCCTCTGGATATTTTTGAGATAGGGTCTCGCTTTTTGCCCAGGCTGGCCTATACTGTGACTCTTCTGTTTTAAGTTTACCACTGTAGCTGTGATGACAGGTGGAGGCTGCCATGCCTAGCTTTTTTCTGTTGAGAATAAGGTCTTGCAAAGTTTTCAAACGTTTTTGCCCAGGCTGGCCTATAACCATGATCCTTCTGAGGTTCAGCCTCTCATGTAGCTTGGGTGACAGGCGCATGCCACCACCCAGCTGTTGGTTGAGACAGGGTTTTGAAACTTTTTTCCCGTGCTGATCTCAAACTTTGAGCCTCCTGATCTCTGCCTCCCAAGTAGCTAGAATTACAGGTGTGAACTACCAATGCCCAACTTCATAATTTTTGAGACAGGGTCTCACTATGGATCCCAGGCTGGCCTCCAACTCATCCTTCAGCCTCCTCAGCACTGGGATTACAGGTGTGTACCACCATGTCCAGAAGTATTATGTTTTTAAAAAGA